TTATTTTCTTGAAGATAGAAGTAACTCTGGCCTCCTTGAACCCCTCCGGTACGGTATTAGTGGTGATTGATAGATTTATTATGTGAGCAATAGGGATTGACAGTTCAGAAGCACCATCTTTTAGGAACTTAGACGGGATGTTATCAGGGCCTGTGCTCTTAGTTGGGTTTAACCTGCTTAGTTCTTTTTGAATGAAGTCATGAGATACACTTACTAGTTGACAACTGTTTGGGGTTACCCCTTTATTGGTATGTATGTTCGAAAACTTATCAGAGTTTGTGTTAAAGGTATTTGATGCAGCTGGTAGTTTACTTACTAGTGTTGATGCAACAGATGTGTAGTAGGAATTAAAGCAATTTGCCACCTTTAGATGTTTCGTGGCATACCTCATTATCGATAGTGAGTTTCTATGTTAGACCTATCTACTGGCTTATGGCTATACCCCAACTGTTTTAGTTGTTGCCAGAGCTTTCTGGGGTTTTGCTTATACTCTTCAATTTTTGAGCAATAGTGCTTTGCCTTTGCTCCTTTTATAAGTCTCTGTACTCTGTTCCTCACCCTTTGGAATTCATTTAGTGCTGCAATATCCTGTCTGTTTGCTTTAAATCGTTTTAGCAGCTGGTCTCTGAATTTCATATTATCTAATATCTCAGTAGTCATCCAGGGTTCAGTTCTTCGTTTAATCCTAACCTCTTTAACTGGTGCAGTATTATCAAGGATGGTAGTAAACATTGTTTTGAATTTTTTCCAGGCTATGTTTCTGAACTTTATTTGAAAACAAAATACATTGAAAATGAGATACAATAGGAAGGAGAACAACGTGCATGACATCTCAAATACGTCCAACTTCCCGGCGGTGGGCCTGGTGTCCACGGCCGTCTGCTGCTAAGGCAGAAGAAGAAAACACCTTCACCATTATTTATTATATTTCTGTCTTGCCAGAAGTGTGCTGGCATCACAATTCAGATTACCCTCCTGCTGCTACATCCCCACATTATTTAGGTTAGGTAAGGGAAGATTGTCAGAAAACAGGACAGGTGTTTTCTGACGCGGGTCTTAGTCATATGATGACCCGCTGCTGGAGTTTTTGGTCATCTGACTGAGGCCTTCCGCTGGCTTACCGGTCCACCCCTTTAAAATTTATGGTTGTTATTATAATAATTTTTTTCTTTTTAGATTTACTATAGGCTGAGCTAGTTGTGGCTTATTTTTCTTGGTGTCACAGTTTATTCACATAGGCATATATACACGCCGTCTTATACTCAACCCTTATGACTCACGAAATCGTAATAACAGGATTGCAAACAAACCACAGCGCGGGTGGGGTTTGAACCCATGGCGAGTAATTCGTAAAGCAAGACATAAAAATGAAAGTTTTAGATAAATGTTACATTAATCATGTTAATAACACATGAAGCTCTACAGAGGCTGAAACATCCCAGTCAGGTCTAGTCATTGCTTCTCAAGCTTCTGAAGCTATTATTGTAACAGACTTGATGCCAGTGAAGGGCTCTTGTTTCAGAGAATTAGAGCTACGCTTTCTTTTTCCTTGGATTAAATCTGACTGCCTCTCATTGCCCAAGATACTATATGATCCATATGGGTTTGTATTCATCCGTGAAATAAACAAAATATTAGGACAACAAGTTATTATTATATTTATTATTATCCTATTCAGAAATAGGCACTAAACCCACATGGGTAATACAGTTGCAAGATACTAATTGAGAAAGGGGTGTAGTATATAATGGTGTGTATAGTATACACTAATTAAATGGTGTGAGACTACAGCAGTGGTCGTGGGGAACTTCGATGGGTTACATGGAAGGGATTTATGTTACAGTACATATGCTTTGAGTACATCCTGGAGTTAAGCAAGGGATCACTTTTGGTACAGTATATTACTTACATGTTCTGTTGTCTTAAGGCATCCTGCCAGTTCTACCAGCAGTGGGCTAGTGTTTTGATGTACACTTTGTATACATAGCAAGGTTCTGCAGTTTATGAAATACAAGGGTGTGGCACAAGTCCCAATAATATCTGTTCATCCAGCAACTCTGTAAAGCAGAGAAATGAGCTGACACTGCACAGAATAAATTTTTTTACTGTACCACAAGCTAGTCAACTCACTTCTACACCCAATATATTAAAATAATTGTTGCAAAATCATTGCAAGCAAATATGAAAAGAACTGGTTAAGTGACTTAAACCCCATACTGTACCATGAAGAACTTCTGTAGCACATGAAGGAAAAAAGCCAGAAATTCAGAAAAGAGCTTTTAAAAAATTATTGATTGATTTTTTATGAGAGTTTTGTAGAAGTTTGGTAAACTAACTTTTCAAATAGGAAGAACACTGAAATATTGGAGAAATGATAATTATGGAATTATAATGGTTTTGGGAAGAGTTGATGTATTAACACCAAATTATATACCAATGAGCAAAGTCTGTATGTAAAACGACGTTTATCTTGTGCATTAAAGAGGCATTTGCTTTGCAG